GCCTTGTGTTCTGTGTGACTACAGTGAGAAAGAAAAGACAGTGTTAACAGAAGTGATTTGAAGCTTGCGGCCACCTCGAACTTAACGAAATTTTGCTTCAAAGTTGAAGTAAAATAAGATCAAATTCTAAACTACCTTCCTTCATCGTAACGAATATTTCACGATCGTCTCCACATACAACTTCGTGATTCATAAAAGTACGACATCAACATCTTAAGACTAACCTTACAAGATTTGTAGTCTCAGGGTACATCTTGATCGTTAGTAAACCAAATCTCAAACTTCACTGAGTTTTCGGCCTTTTTTCGCACTTTGATCATTAAAATATCCTCATCCGAAGAGCCAGCAACTCCATGAGTATCCACAAAGTTACTCGGAAACAGTGGTCAACTTAGCATACTCTTTCATCCCTCTTCAAAAAATATTACAAAAAGGTGGCGATCGCCTAGTTGAAAACCTGCGGAAGCTCGCTGAAAGCATCAAGCCCCAGTTGTTCGAAGGGTGGATAATTCTATCAACTGGATAAATCTCTTTCTGTTGAATAGCGCAGTATGTTTTGTTTACACTTATCCGCTGGATACCGATTTATCAGTTGGATAGCGTTATCCACTCTTTGAACAGCCGGGCCCAGAATGGCGCCGAACGTGCGAAACTCGCGAAATTTTCATTATTCTCGCGCATGTGTAGACAAAGTATCTACCTGCTGACGTACAAAAGTCTGACGCAATCAAATAGAAAATGCAAATATCGTGACTCTTACGGCAACATATTTCCCAAGACCCCTTCAAGATCGCCACGCCGCGACAATCATTCGGCCGCAAAAACTAACAATAAGCATTGCTATCACATGCAGCATGACCCAAGGAATATGGTTCATTTTTCAAGATTCCTTTCATCGTTTCAGGTATGTAAAAGTATCTTTAGAGGTTTCCCTTAAAAAAAAATTGTTCGCATCAATAACGTAGCACACGCAGCTAACTTCCGAGGTAGCTATTGAAGCATATCTGCTTTTCATAGACTCTTCGTTAATTGTGATGTAAGGTTTGGTTCTAAGAATCGTAATCTGTTGTTTTAAGGCGAAAAAAATGATAGAGTTGATGTTGAAGCTACTTCGAATGTGAAGTTGATATTGAAGCTAGAGTGGTCCACCAATTCCTTGGGGACCGAAGAGTCTGTCAGTTCATTTTATGCAAATCACACAGATGCAGATCGAAAGCCGTAAGCACCAAGCAAATTGCGAAACTATCTCGAGGAAGCCGTCAACAATTTCTCGACAGTGAAATGAATCATTAGATAACTTTTAAAAGGAGGGAAAAGAGAGAAAGGCAGATAGAAAACTAGAACATGTCTACAACCATGCGAACTAGTACGTGTGGCCACAGCATGTACTGCATAAGTCGGAGAGATCGAGATCAACTGCCGTAGCTTTGAGAATTTGAAAGTAGTGAGCATCGCTGTGATTATGGGTTAACTTTTTAGTAGACTTAGAAATACTAATGGTGAGAAGGACATGAGTAACTACTGCCTGATTACAGTACCGATCACTTCTAGTCACTGATGTCCATGTACCATGACGAGTAGTTACTAGCTCCTTGAGGAATAAGAAAAAGCTGTCAATCGAGGGTCTTTTCAGGAGTAGAAAACATTTCCAGTTACACTGAAACATCTTATGAGTATATATGATGTTAGGAACCAGGGAAACCATTTTCGTTCGCTTTAGAGCCAATCAATGCAGATTTATTCAGTTTCATTTTACTTCATACTGATCCAAACTTTATTGCGTACAGAGGCGTTAAATTATCTGGGGAATAGAAATATTCCAACCACTATTCGTAGTGAATTGTTTGTTGCGATCACACCTAACTTATCTCGGTATATGATGTTTTAACGATGACCAATCACTGATTCTTTACACTCTGGTCTATCAACAGTATTTGAGAGGGATAGATGGCCATTGTTGCCAAAGGCTTGGGAATGAGTGTTGGTCGACCATTTACCAGAAATTAGTGGGAAGTTGAGCTTGAAGATGGCAGACAGCTTCGTCAGTTATATAATGATGATGATAGTAATAATAAAAAAGTCAATGAAAACAAAAGAAAAACCAAAGGAACGAACAACGAGAAAAAGAATAAGGTGAGAGGGTGACAACGAGCCAAAGACTAGTTCCCAGGAGCACTCGTTCGTTAAAGATCACCCGCTCGCTACAGGGAGCTCGAGTAAGACGACGTTTTCACAACACCCTCTCCAGGATCTTTTAACATTTGACAACAGGTAAAATTACACATATTTCTTTGCTATAACTTTCCACCTTGTAATAGTGAAGTCCTAATCGAAAAAGCGAATGAACCAGGTTGTCGAAGTTGTAACACGAAGCAGTGGGCAGTGTGGAGGAAGTGCGAATTCACGTGCGACTGACGAATGCTAACAGTGTTTTTGTAAAGGATTTGTTTTATCGTGCATTGCATATTGCTCAAATATTGATCTAAAATTCGAGGGATGGCAGAAATGCCCATGATACATACATACTAATGTAATATAGTTAAGTCGGGTTTTTTGGATTGACGCAAACATATGATCGTATATAAACAAACCCCCAAGCAATATCTTGCTCAAGATGATTCCTCAGAAATAAAAAAAAATGTCCACGAGTTCTCTGAAAATTTTCTCGGATGTTCCCCTTTCAATCACATGCATAGAAGAATAGGGAAAAAAACGGTCCAAATTGTTCGTAAAAGAGATAAGATTGGCTTAAATCTTACCTACTTGCTTTTACTGGTATAATATAAATTTCATAACGCATAATATAAATTTCATAACGCAAGGCCCGACAGAGTTGCTCCAAAACTTTTAAAGTTTGCCGGTGACTCAATTATTCCATCTTTATTGTCTGTTTTTCAAATAAGCGCCACCTGCAACAGTGTACCGGCTACTTGGAAGGCTGCAAACATCTCAGCTCTCTATAAAAGTGACGATGAAACCGTTAAGCAAAATTACAGGCCTATCTCGCTATTAAGTGTACCAGGAAAACTGATGGAGTCTATGGTGGCCTCAACTATTACCACGCATGTCACTGAACAAGGACTTGGGAACCCTCACCAGTGGGCGTATAAAAAAGGTCATTCCACCGAGCTGTTGTTAGTGAAAATAACGGATGACTGGAGACAAGCGATCGACAAGAAACATGTTGTAGGCGTGGTTTTTGTAGACTTTCGTAAGGCGTTTGACGCAATTCCCCACTCCATTCTGCTCCGAAAACTTCAAAGTCTTGGTGTAGCTGGGGACTTGTGGTGTTGGATAAGAGATTACCTCTCTGGAAGAACGCAAGTAACGACGATTAATGGGTGTCAATCTCAAGCTATGCCAGTTATTTTTGGTGTACCTCAAGGGTCGGTGCTGGGCCCTACCCTGTTTTCCATCTTCTGTAATGATCTGCCCAATATCACTGAGGGAATAGATGGTGACCCACAGCTTCACATGTACGCAGACGATACCACCGTCTATGTCTCAGCTCCGACCTACGATCTGGTGGCCTCCAAGTTGAATGAAGTACTAGCAAGGCTATATACATGGTGTTGCGAGAACTGTCTCACTCCACATCCCACCAAGACGGAATATATATTGCTTGGTGGACGCGGAAAATTTACTGGGCCAAAACAAGCTATTAAGATAGGTGATTATGTTGTCGGGGAGGTTGTTTCTGCAAGATGCCTAGGTGTTCAGATAGATAATGCTCTTAAATGGGATCATCATGTATCGGAATTAGCTAAGTCATATACGCAGAAGTTGAATTTACTTAAATCCTTGTATTTCCTTCCTATACAGGCAAGAATTGATTTCTATTTTAAGGTTATTCTGCCGTCTGTGACATATGGTATGTTAGTTTGGGGCTCTTGTGGTCGAGTATTTTTCTCAAGCTTAGAATCTATACATGTTAGAGCGGCGAAAATAATATTTAACTTGGATTGGTGTACTCCAAGCAAGGAGGTTCTTGCCACAGTAAAATGGAATACCTTAGAGATTATGTATGAGAAACGATTACTAATCTTAGCGCATCAGGCTTATTATAATCTTTTGCCACGTCCTATGAGCCGTCACTTTGAAAAGTATGTAAGTAGCTACGACTTCAGGAGGAAAATGACATTTAAGTTACCTAGACCTAAGACCGATATGGTCAAGAAATCATGCTCATACAAGTCAATTACTCGGTGGAACGCTCTGGAAAATCAAATGAGATCAATTCAAGACGTTGACGCTTTTAAAAAGTCACTCAAGTGTATTTTTAAGCCACGTATGTTATAATGATGTACTATGTAGAATTTTTATTGTTGAAAATATGTAGAAATCTTACATTAGTCTTCTTATAATTAGTTAGGAATTTAGTTTTATTGGATTTAGTTAGGAATTTAGTTTTATTGTCCGTACACGACCACATCAGCTTTTGCTGAATTTTTTATCGTGTTTAAATAAATGCTGTTGTTGTTGTTGTTGTTGCGTCGCTCCATCGGTTTCCTGTACATCTCATCGGTTTGCGGTACATCTCATTGGTTTGCTTGAGGCAAAAGTTTTTAAAGAAAAAGTTTGAAAAAAAAATAAAAAAATAAAAAACAAATAAACAAAAAAAAATTGATAATTATATAGTCTCTAGCGTTTGAAAAAATATAATATGCCTTGAGCAACGACTTTGTGCACGCCTTTTTTCATTTAGATCAATTTAAATGTTTTCCTTCCCGAAGGCGTTAATTTGTGTTACAACTTTACACACGTGTTACGTAATTTTTCCATGTCTAGTATTACGACTGTTATGCGCAGTACAGGATGCGCAGTGTAATACCAGGGGAATCACCTTGAGTAGCGAGCAGCGAGTAAACACTCGTTTGAGACAACCAAGAACTCGAAACCTTAGTTTTGTGATTTTCCATTATGAAAGGAAGATCACAGTATTAAATGTTTTTTTTTTGTTTCAGATCTACCGGCACAAATGTATCGTCCGCCTAAAATTCCAATTGAACATATGGACAACGAGGTAACATTTTGTCAACGTATTGAGGTTGCAGCAAAATGCATGTTTGTAGTTAAAATGTGATCTAAAAATTAATTTTTGTTTCATTTGGAGCTATAACCTCTAGGTTACGTCCATCGTTATGCACTAGACTTGTGGGTGTGTTGAGGAACGAGTGCGTCCCCTATCGAGTCAGAACAAAGGCTTAACGCTACATTTTTTTAGGGTAGCGAGTTATTATTTTCTCTATGGGTTTATTAAACAGTTGAATTTACAAAAAGCTGAGTTTTCTTCCTTGTTATTGTTGTCATTCTTTTTTTGTTTTGTTTTAGTATTATTCCCAACAACTCATTCATTGCAATTTCATAGTTCAGCAGGAATTTTCACCTAGCAAAAGTTGTGCTGAAACAAAATTCCAACAAAAAAATCAACCAACTGGTCGTTATGACATTTTTATAATGGAAAAAAATATGAGAAGCAAGACGAAACATCTGCAAATCTGCACATGCTAAGTCAAATACTTAATCACTCACGCTACGATTTCAACTTTACTGATCCCAGCGGATCATCTCTATCACATGCAAACCTACTCATGGCCAAGCTCACCATATCGAGTTCTCTGTAGCTTAGTGGCAGAGCATCAGAGGGTGAACTGCAATAGCCTAGGGTTTGACTCCTCTTGGGAGACTCAGTTTTTCTTCATCTCATAGTTTTGACCATACAAATAACATATTTCTTTATTTAGTGACTAAGCTCAAAATCTACCATATCTTCCTATTTTCCTGGAAACAGGCAGGATGCTTGGTTATTTTGAACCCAGTAAAGGCCTATTCAACTCTGTAGCTATTTTAGTGGTAGTGTATCAGAATTTAACGTTAGAAGGTTTGGAGTTCGATTAATGGTGGCAACTCTTTCCTTACTGATGTCTCATGCTCATGACAAAATGAACATCTTTCATTAGTACCCAAAAAATGTTTGGTCAGAATGACAATTTAGATAGTTTCTTTGAACACGTGTTCCTTTATTACTTATACTTACTTCTTTCAAACAAAGAAAGTGGTTTTTTTTCATTTTGCTATTAATTTTTAACATTGTAATTTGTTTTATTACATTGGAGACTTGCCATTGTTTTCCTGCAGCAAGAACATCAACATGGTGAAATTTTTGATGAGCAGATGCTCCTCAATTTGGTGCTACTGTTAACGTACCTTTATTATTACAGGTATATGATTTACCAACAATTTTGGTAATTGACAATATAATTGCAGCTGGGGAACCAGTTAACCTTTTAACTCCCAAGATCTGATTGTTAATTCTCCCCTCTGGTTGCTACACATTTCCTTGTAAATTAGTCATGAGAACTTGGTGCTAGATCATGATATCAGCTTCTACCTAATAAGTTTGAATATTCTCATCACCTGTTTGCTGAAAAATGTACGGATAATATAGAGAGAAGTTTCATGTTAATCACTTCTGGGAGTTAAAGTATTAACCACCACAGTTCAAATGAGGGATTGAATTTTGATCTTTTGCTACCCAAAATCAATTCTTTGAGTGCATCATAGGGAGCTAAATTCAACCAATTAATGTTTCTTCCCAGACTTCATGCCAGGGTGCACTTGTTCTCCTCAATCAAATGTTAAGGTTAACACTACACGAAAGTAACCTGTGGCATTATTTTGTTCATTTGCAGCAATGCTCTGTCTGAGAGTGACTAGACTCCATAAAATTTCATCAGTGACAAATCTAGGTAATGTAAGAATTAGATCACTTATTTCTGGAAAGTAAAGGTTGTCATATTTTTAACCCTGCACTGTGACTTCTCCCTGTTGGATCAAACAAGACAAACCTTAAGGGAGCTATTTTTTGCCACACATTACTCAATTGAAATTATAATAATTAATAAGGTGTAACTATCTTTGTTATGGACAAAAAATTTTATACCAGTAAACAAGTGTGGGTCACCAAAGTATAGAAATATGTCTTGCTTGAAGAAGCAAATATTTTGTTGTCTTGAATAAGATTCCATGCTCTGATCAGTGCTCTCTCCTCATTAAGCTCCCACCCACAGGCCATAATATCAAACAAGCACCCCTCTTGAGTAAGCACCCCTCTCTTCTCTCACTTTCTGAAATGGCGGGGATACAAGGAAAATCTGCTTCCCATTTGCCACTTTATTTAGAACTTTTAAGCTTCAACTATAGGAGAATGGGCACAGGACAATAAGAAGTGCCCCTTGATTATGCTCCCTCTTCCAGTTAAACACCCATCTGTTTAGCTACAATTTTAAATAGGAGCAGGGGCTTATTTAAGAAAATACAATACTCAAGTTCTTAGTGGTCACCTTTTGATAACACCACATTTGAATACAGGGTTGCAATTTCTCCAAGATCAATTAATGTTTTCTTTTGATTTTTTTCAGGATTATATCAGCATTATATTAATAGAAAGAATTGCTGAAAATATATTTTCTCTCTTAATTAACTTTATGAATTGACTGTACTTATGACCATCTTTTGGATGTGATATTTATGTACTGTCTTTGAAATAAACTGTGGCCTAACATTGTTTTCAGTCTCATGATTAGTATTTTTGTTGCTTAAGTTCTTTTTAGAAGTATTTACTGCCAAGATTTGATAGATTGTGCTTATCTTCAGCTCAAGCCTGTGATTTTTATGTCCTGTCAATAAGTACCACAATCTTTTCTCAGTTTCATGAACTGCAAGTTTGTTAATTAAAATATCTTTTAGTGGATTTTGCTACCCTGATTATAAACATGACCCGGTAAAGGCTTTGATGCAATGCTTATGTACTTCATACTCAAGAAAATAGTTATAGACCAGGAACAAAGCAGTTGCCCTTGTGGAGGACACAGTGGCCTAATGTTTTTGCATTGGACTATGGTTCAAGAGGTTTGTGTTCAAGACCTTGCTGGTCATTGTGTTGCATTTTTTGGCCATGCACTTTACTCTCACAGTGCTTTTCTTCACCCAGGAGAAGAGGAACTATTGAACTGTCATGAAAACCTGAAAAAATGCTGGGGAAAGGTAGGGAATAACCTGCTATAAACTGGATTCCTGTGCAATATACCAATAATCTCCAAGAATATAGGTCAATTTTTAGAGTTACATTCACTCTCTTGTTGTTGTGACTTTTATCCTCCTTCAAAATGTATTTTGCTGGATTTGTTGCACTGCTCTTCTAAAGAGATACAACAACAGCCTCCATTTGGTGCCACAATTCAGGGAGGAGGAGGGGAGGTGGGAAATGGGTTTCACCTGCAATTAAATTGATTTCCGTCCCATGGAAATAGCAATATTCCTTGTCACTTTGTGTTAAAGATGCTGGGATAAGCTGCAACTGGACGGTTTACATGGCTCACTTGAATTCTGTTTATCTGGTGAAGTTTACATTTTACCTTACTTATGTAGCAATTTTTAACAATATGATATTTCTTAACTTCCCATGTATTCTGCTTTATAGCTCTAACTTCTCAAAAGTAACTTGTGTTACTTTACAGAGTAAAAAAACAAAGATCTGTTGCCATTCCTCATCAAAAAATTTAAGCTAAAGACAGTTTGGTTCATTTGGTTTCACTTGTAACACATTTTGTTGACTGGTGAATTGAATCATCTGTTCTGTGGCAGAAAGTTTATAGGTTTACATATTGAAGTAAAGTAGGATTGATCTTCAAGGTGTCTGTTGAGAGAAATGAACTTTGTTCTAGCAGGAGTTCCACAAGAATGGTACAGGGGAGGTTAAACATAAAATAATCCTTTTCTGCATTTTTGTCATACTTAAATTTGATCTTCATTTACATCAAACATGTACATGACTGCTGAACATTTGGCATCCACCCAACGATGCCAAAAGTGCATTCTGCACTAAAACATAGCCCTTGTACTGTCCCAATCACATGTCTTCAGTGTTCCTTTTATATGCATCTGTCTGTGCAGCAGCTTTGTTTGCTAACATGGCACATTGTTTGTTTCAAAGCCATTTGAGCAGTTCACACCATCCCAGCAGTTTCCTCATCTGATGTTAAATCTGTTTGAAGGAGGGTCTGTACCCTTTACACACTCAGGTTTTTCTGTCAAAAGGGAAAAAGATATGTAAAAGTATGGCAGACTATTGATCACTCAATTTATTAGTCCAAAAGTGCACTCAAAAAAAAAAACCATGATGCTACTCAATTTAAGCCAAGTGAGCTTCAAATGAACCATTTATACCATCACATCACCATATTCTCCACTCTGTTCTCTGTATGTTTTCTTAGTTGCTGACAAGAAGAATTTGTTTAACAATCAGGAACTTCTTAAGTTGGTGATCATTTTCTTTATTCTTGTGGCTTTAACATTTAATTCAGGGGTGAAATTGTACAGAGAAATTATATCCTAGTCACTCTTAGGGGTCAAAGGTTAAAGGGAGAGAAGTATGTGAGAGTTAATAGGTACCTTTTTTCACAGCCTAGATGGCTTTACCTATCATGTTAGAATTATAAAAACCAAATCCAAAGTATACCTACAAAAATGCATGTGTTATTACAAAAGCAAACCAGAACAAGCAAAATGTCCCTGAAACCATGGAGAACTTAATGTAACTTAGATGTGAAGTGACCTTAATCCTTTGACCCCTGAGAGAGAATTGTATCCTAATTTTCTTTACAATATCATCACTGGATCACTCTGTAAGGTCACCAGAATAAAAGAAATGGTCACCAACTAAAGATGCTCTTGATTGATAAACAAATTTTTCTTGTTAGTGCCTTAGGAAATGTATAGAGAACAGTGTGGAGAATATGCATACTGATGTTGAGGTGTAAAGGGTTGAGAGTAAGGAAATCACTGTCAGTATCTATAATGTGATCAAGTTTAGCTCTGAGATGTCAAAAGTGTTGCCTCCTATTGGAACTTCAAAGGTAAAAATTCACTGTGTCCCATTTAAACAAACATTTTTTGATGGGAGAAATAAAATTAAATGATCTCCAGAGTGAACTTCTCCTTTAAGGAATGGGTGATGTTGGAAGGGTCAGGAGACATGGGAACAATAATTATTCTACTTAAATATCCTCACATTATCTAGTAGAAACAGGTAATGAGAGTATCTTGATCTCTCACCAAATTCTCTAATTTAATTTTGAAGGAAATGTGCAGCAGTTAGAGAGGAGAATTAACAATCAGATCTTGGGAGTTAAAGGGTTAAGGGGTTGTCACACAAGTTTCTGTTTGACTGTACATGTAATAGCACACTTACCAAACTTGTCTCCTTAGACATTCTTTCTCAACTTGTAACCTTCATGTTACCTGGAAGAGGAATAATATGTCCAACATTTATATCAATACTTACATATGATACTGAAAATTCATTTAGATGCACATAACAGTTCAACATATTTGCAGTTGTAAATAAGTGGATATCTTTGAAAAAGACCCAAATTACACTCAAATTGTGGAAATATACTTCACTACATTACATGTGGCTTTAAATACACCAGAAACCAGATGATCCATGAGTAATTTTCCATGCATTTACTTCAAATATTTGGAAAATTTTGACCAGGATTAAAAATCTCCACAAAAATTAAAAGCTCTCATATTCTGTCTGTTTTCTTTACAAAAACAAACCAAAATAGAGAACTTAAATGAACAAAGAATTCTGATGACTAGCACCCTGATTGTTTTGAAGTTCTGTTCTTGTTTTGTTGGTCTGGTTCCATGAATTCTAAGTTACCCAAGATTTAATCAAGTGAGCTACTCAAGAAATCTTGTCCCTCAATTACACAAGCAAACTTTCGAATGTTTCAAATGTTGATAAAAAAACATCGCAGTAGCTTGGACGTTGGCACTAGCATTCTTTCTGATCAGCACCCCAGTGGACCAATATGTTTTACTTGGATAATAAAAAATAACTATGTAAAAAAAAAACACTCAGAGCCAAAACTCAATCAACATGAAAAATTTACTCCAATGTAAATTATAAAAATTCTCAAAATTCTGAAAAGTCAGATCTTCCCCAAAGCAGCTTATTCATCAAAAGCAAATGTTTAGAGGCAACAGATGGCCATGATCTCAAATAAAATCATGAACACCATCAATTTATCTTCCAAAATCATTAAAGACCACGACATTGGTGGCAATAAAATATTTTGGTAATGTTGTATGTAGTATTCTTAAAGTTAATGGAAAAAAAGAACAACATATATTTCCCAAGATATCAACACTATATTTTAAAAGAGGCACTAAGTCACAGTTACTGTTTCTTGAAAATTTAGCCCCCATCTTTTTCTTTGGAAACCTTCTAGTCTTCTCTATCCTTTTTGATTGTTGTTCCTTGTAATTTTATATTCATCTCATCAAATGTTTTATGTGTTTGGTATCTATCTAAATTACTCAATAGAAATTCTGTAGTTTGATACAAATTAGAGACAATTTTGTGTGCTGCAAAAACATGATTCAAAATACCAACTGTAAGCCTACCAACAATTGATGACTTACAAAAGATAAAGTGCCTTTGGGCCTATTGAGAGCTGTATTCCTTAACCCGAAACGTACAGACCTATTAACATGATGTATGACACTGAAGTGTCTAAATTCTCCTATAATGTTTAAAGTCTATGCCTTTTCTCTGGTTTTTATTTTTGAACTCTCAACTAAGCAGTGAGAAGCAACTGGCTTACAGAAAAGTGAGTCATTCTTCTAGATCTGTAAGCAAGTTGCAATGTGACATGTCTGTTGTGGGAGATTTCATAGAAGAGTTGCGCTTGAGTTGTAGAATATCCAAATCGAACTTGCAGCGCTTCAACCCATCTTAGTCCCCCACTTTCCCTGCCCCCCCCCTCAAAAAGTAAAATTATAAGGTAAATTCTGATTGGCCAGTAAGGCCAGTGTAATAAACCCAGCTCTGTCATATGCCTAAAAAGAAACATCAATTGTAGCAAGGAAAGCCAATAGAAGCTGAGAGCTAATAAAATAAGTTGTTCTGCTTCTGTTGTTTGCTTCTGCTTCAATTGGATAAAATGCAGCAAACTGAATTATTTACCATAGCCATCATAAATATAAATGTTTGAATATAAACAATATTCACACTCTTCCTTGGGTCCTGTGTCAAGACCCTAAGCAAAATTAACCACATTTGTTTCTCTTTTTTTTTTTAAGAAAATCTGTAACGACTTCATAACTATTGACTTGTAACCCGATTCTTTAAATGAGTTATCTTCTAATCTTTTTTTGATATTTTTATTTGGTGAAATTAATTGCACCTTTGTGGATCAACCTTTAGTCACCAAACATTTTTACAAAGTCCACTCTCTGTTCAGCATCTAAAGACAGTACAGTGGCCAAAACATTAAACTTACTCACTACAATTCCTTTCCCTCTTTTTTGTGGGACTAAGTCTTTGCATCATAGATTAAGACTAAGGAAGAAAATGTTGAGTGACAGACTGACTCCAATGTGGGTCAGCTCTTAGTCACCCATATTCTCTTGTACAAAGTCCACTCTCTGTTTAACATGTAAAGACAGTCCACTGGCTGAAATTTTTTATACACTTGTTGAATT